TGTGAAAATAAACTTTTAGCCCCTCAAACAAATATAAACTAGTACTATTATTCTCATGGATTATAAAAAGCGAGAGAGCAAAGCTGTAAAATAAATTGCTAAAATGCTCCCATGCATCCTCTCTTGTGTGCTATCTCTTTTGTCTCTTCATGCATAGTCAATCTATCAGCTCCATTGATTCTGTTTATCAGCACTCTAATGGATGGGTGACCACATTAAATATTTACAATGCTTCACAACATTCCAACATCACAGAAAACGTGGCCCATATGACCCGCTTCTTTTCCTGATTCAGGGTCCATCCCCTTTTCCCATGCATATTTGATGTACTGCAAATAATACCACTAATAATACTTCAGTATTTCTGTTATTATTTAAGTAATCTGGATGTTTCTTAATTTTGTTTTCTATATTTTTTACAATCTTTTGAAATTTACTGATGTTTACGCTTAAAACAAGAAAAATTATTGAGGTAATAACTCAAAGCAAAACGATTTTTTATTCCTTTATTAAGATTTGATGTCATTTTGCTTTTTAGTTTAACATATCTCATATTAAGGATTTTTAAATATTTATACCAGAAAAAATATTGACGTTTTTGCACTGTGTTGTTTATTGGCACAATTGTTTTCCCAGTTCACTGATCATTCGGTCATTTATACACACATTTAATTCTTAGAAATTAGGAAAAACAGATGCAAGAAAAGAAAAAGAAAGACACAATATGAAGACCTACACTACTGTTCAAAATTTGTTTTTGAAAGTCTCTTGCTCAGCAAAGGCTACATTTTTTTGATCTAAAATTATGCCAAACCACTAATATTTTAAAGGGGTCATCCGATGCCCATTTTCCACAAGTTGATATGATTCTTTAGGGTCCTAATGAAAAGTCTGTAACATAGTTTGGTTAAAATTTCTCAATGGTAGTGTAAAAAACACCTTTTTTACCCTGTCAAAAACAGCTCTTTTCAGAGCAAGCCGTTTTGTAGCATTTTCCTTTAAATGTTAATGAGCTTTGCTCGTCCCGCCCCTCTCTTCCGAGCCGCTCTCTGATTCGCGCGAACATAAACGCATTTATGTAGATCAGGGGTGCATTCCCTTCAGAAACAAACGTAATCCACTGCGTCTTCAGCGGCTTAGATGTCGGGAGTATATGATGACTGCTATGTTCATTATTACAGCCAACAATAGAACACCTCAATCGCTTAGGAGTCATTCTTGTCTACAACTGCTCCGGCGGTGAAACAATGGCGGACTGATGACAGCTCACTCAGGGCGGGTCTAAGGTAAGACACCAGTCCAGTCTGTGCTGAAACACTACTGTCAATCAAACTATCGTGGGAGGGGCCTGTCTGTGTGACGTCACACAGACAGGCCTCTGAGATCGGCTCGATTTGAGAAAGGGGTAAAGATTTTAGTAGATAAAAAAAAAAACACTGGGTGGATTTTTATCATTATAGGGTGGTTGTGTACACACACTGCCAACACAAATTTCAGTTCAAACAACTTGTAAAAGTGCATGTAGCATCAGAAGACCCCTTTAAAATGTTGTTGCTGTTTAAAATAACTTTTCTATTTTAATATATGTTAACATCTAATTTATTCCTGTGATGGTAAAGCTGTATTTTCAGCAGCCATTACTCCAGTCTTCAGTGTCACATGATTTTTCAGAAAGCATTAATATGCTGATTTGCTGCTCAAGAAACATTTCATATTATTTTTGTGAAAACAATTTTTTTCTAGATTCTTGATAAATAGAAGGTTCAGAAGAACAGCATTTATTTTGTTTTTGTAACATTATACACGTCTTTACTGTCACTTTTTATCAATGTAATACCTCCTTGCTGCAAAAAAGTATTAATTTTCTTTAAAACAAAAACTGACTTACTAAACTTACTGAGCCCTATATTTTTGAACGAAAGTGTATGTAATTGAAGTAATCAAAGTCAAAGATATTTACATAGATTCAAGAAGAGGGAAATAGTTTAGGAGTAAAAATATGAACGAGTGTTGTGGGAGGAGAAACGCTTAGGGGTCACATTTTATATTTGTAGCGTGATTCATAAATGTTACAGCTGGAAATCCATTAGAGAGTCTAAATATATGCCTTTAAACAACAACAACAACAACAACATCACTGCACTTTGCTTTTGTTGTGTTGCCTCCAGTGTTTCTACATATTCATAAAATATTACTGGTGATCAAACAGCTCTATTTCAACAATTGCATATAACTCTTTGTTACTGTGTAAATGTTACATAACAAAAGTAATTGTTGGTAAGAGTTGTTGAATTGTTTGTACATGACACAAGTAACAATCTGCTTTTTAATTACAAACTTTAGAGAAAATGCATGTTTACAGAAGTTACGCTCTGTGTCTATTATAACCGCAATGCTGTAAAGCACGTTTCAGATAAGGTGAACTGTTTGACACACCTGTTTGTTCAGATCTGACTGAGTTCTGTAACTGTTAAACCAAGTAAAAGATCTAGAAGAAAAACAAAACAGTAGCACAAACACTAAAAGGGCAGTTCCAACTACTAGTGTCAGTATCAACCATTCCAGAAAGTACAGAGAGTCCCAAACCTGGGTGGATGTGTTGTTTATATTCTTAGAATTTTGAAAGTAATAGTCTGACTGTTTTTTTTTTTTCCAAGAATTGCTCTGTGAGGCAGAGATTTACCAAAAACACTTTGCTCACTCGTTTCCTTGATGGACACAAGAGGGCAAATAAACATTTGGTTCCTGGGCCATCTCATGTATTATTCTTCACCAACAAGAAACTTCACATAAACACACTGTTCTTCTGATTTAATTTTCAGTGCACTTTCCTTTAATGCAGTACCCAAAAAAAAAAAAAAAGTTCTGAAATTAGTTGTTCTGTTTGTGCATCAGATAAAACAAATAAGAGTGAGACCATATCATTTAACTGTGATACCATATTTATAATTACTTAATTAAAAAAAACGTTAATTTTGCACCACTGTTCAGCCAATTCAAATATTCAGTAAACATTCTCAGGCCATTGTTCTCATCTAAGACTGAGTTTTTAAAATATATGAAAAAGATCTTGCATACCTGCTAGTTAGATCAAAGATAATTACAAAAAAAATTAAAAGAGTCTGTCTCGCACACTTTATTATATATAATTAAAATAGGAGAAAGGCTGATCTTGATGGCCCAGAGAAACAGGTCCAGAATAGTCACAGCAAAATATAGGGTGTTCTCAAACTTTTGGCCTCGACTATATCTGTGTAAATGTGCGAGAGAGAGAGAGAGAGAGAGAGAGAGAGAGAGAGAGAGAGAGAGAGAGCGAGTAAGAATGAATGTGTACTCACACACACTCATACACATGCACACCAACAAAACTGGTCAGCCGCCTTATCATCATTTACCGACTGCAGCCAGTGCTTCAGGGCCTCACCTGATCCTGTTACTTTCCTCTGTAACTTTTTAAGATGTGTGTATTATCTTCTGCACACAAGCTACAAGAGCAAGGGCTATAACTTTAAAAATAACTATCTGTTGAAATGAAATTTCTCTATGAAAACTAGCACACATGTATTTTCCTCAAAAACACATTTCCTGTATCAGCAAACACGTGGACAACAAGGTGTTTTTTAAAAATAATTTCTATTGTTTAGGAAAGGGGCATAACAAAAACAAACAAACAAATAAATAAATAATATAAGCTAAATAACTGTTTTGCATTACACACTTCGTCTTAAAGGGGTCATAGGATGCCCATTTTCCACAGGTTGATATGGTGAAACTAGCTAATTAGCACATTATTAGGAAAGGCGATTTGCAAAGATTCATTAAAAAAACCTTACACTTACTTCTTCTGTAGATGAAGCTGGATCACGAATGATTCGCGCGAACATCAGAACAAGCTTCTGAAGTCAATATTAAAATGATTTATGTAGATCGGGGTAGCATTCTTCTTCAAAAATAAACATAATCCAATGCGTCTTCAGCGGCTCAGATGTCGGGAGTATATGACGACTGCTATGTTCATTATTACATCCAACAACAGAACACCTCAATCGCTTAGGAGTCATTCTTGTCTACATCTGCTCTGGCGGTGAAACAATGGCGGACTGATGACAGCTCACTCAGGGCGGGTCTAAGGTAAGACACCAGTCCAGTCTGTGCTGAAATACTACTGTCAATCAAACTATCGTGGGAGGGGCCTGTTTTTGTGACATCACACAGACAGGCATCTGAGATCAGCTCGATTTGAGAAAGGGGTAAAGATTTGAGCAGATTAAAAAAAAAAAACGCTTGGTGGATTTTTATCATTTTAGGGTGGTTGTGTACACACACTGCCAACACAAATTTCAGTTCAAACAACTTGTAAAAGTGCATGTAGCATCAGATGACCCTTAAAAAAAAACAGTTTTACAGTCAGGTGTCATAGGTTCTTAAAGTTTCTTTTCCAGTTCTTTAGAAAACCATCTATGTTGTACGTTAAAGAACACAGAACCCAATACACTGATGAGGAGAACCTGCAATGTAACTTTTAAACTCCAAAGAACCACTAGCTCCTGAACCTAAAACGAACCTTAGTTTTTAAGTTATTATTATTATTACTACCCTTTTCCCATTTTTTCAATTAAAACCTAAAATATATAGACTTATGTATATTACTATTATTATTATTATTATTAAACATAAAAATATTTTCATTTTTATTTTATTTTATTTTAAATTATTTTTTAATTAATATTGTATTTTTTAAAACATTTTTCTAACTTATTTTATTTATTTTTTTATTTTTTTATTAAATTTTGGTATGTATATATAGTGTAAATATGTTTCCCTGTAATACCTCACAGTCCGATAGTGTTTTGTACTCTCATGAACTCTCGAGTATCAGATGCAGTACCCCAACCCGCCGGTAAAGCATTACACCGCTCTATCGTTCACCGCTTCTGAAGTCAATATTGACTCCGCGTCCAGCGCACTAGATTCCGCGCCGTGTTTTGCGCGGAGCTGACGTGCTGCTCGCAGGCTGGTGGCTGCTCTTCGCTCGGCTGTTGTCCTGATATCACTCCGCTAGCATGGAGGAGGGGAGCGCTTGATTATTGTGATGGTGGCAGCTGCTGTACACATTGGCGACTGTAGGATTTCCTCTCCAGCCATCGGTACTTTAAGAAACTGCACACCTTGTTCGCGCTCGGGGAGGGTTTCGCCGTCCAAACTAATGAAATGCAAGTTCACGAAACAACTCCGGAGCCTGATCGCAGCAGACGGCAAAACTTTTTTCAAAAGGACAACACAATAAAACGACGGTCTCGCAGCAGCGGTGCTTATGCGTGATGGTTGCGAGTAACATCCGGATGTTTGATGGAGCTCCAGTAGAGGCGAGAGAGTAACAGACCCGGTCGCCTCTCTCGCTCCTCCACGGTCCCGCACTGTTGTCTATTGAGTGGTTGACACGGCGACCCTCCTGGAGGAGGGATTTACACTAATTTAAACGCTTCTTTCTCCCCAATTTCACTGTATCTGCCTCCCTGGCGAAGCGGACTTCTGCCCCGCTTTGGAGAGGGGAGAGAGAGAGTCAGGGGGGCTTGACAAAGTTCTTCCCGAATCACAGATGATGGGGGATTTTGCCAGCCCCGCTGCCGTACCGACCGGCGGCGGCATTTGCATTAATAACAGTAACGTGAACTTAAACTCTGCCATTAATGCAACCAACAGCAGCACCGGCGGCGGCGGTAACGTGGGCATACCGAAGCACAGCACGGTGGTGGAGCGGCTCCGGCAGCGGATCGAGGGCTGCCGGCGGCACCACGTCAACTGCGAGAGCCGATACCAGCAAGCGCACGCCGAGCAACTGGAGCTGGATCGCCGGGAGACGTTGAGTCTGTACCAGCGGAGTTTAGAGCAGCGGGCCAAAAAATCCAGCAACAGCAAACAGCAGAGCAAGCAACAAGAGCCCGATTCAACCGCGACCACCGAGCAGAGGAGCAGCACTCTGATCGCGGTGAGTTCAGCTCTCGTTACAATGCGCGTGACTGTTCTTTTATAGGAGTCTACGGCGTTTGGAATGAACACAGTACGGTTTGTTTGGGTTGCAGTGCTAACTTTCGCTCGGCGTCTGCGTTTTTACACTTGTCGGAACTGAAAACTCTAAATTGGTGCAGTCATAATAACAAGCATAACTTTAGCGCGATTTGCGGACTAATCATAGTCGTGTGGAAGTGCATTAGAGCTTCGAGTAACTTTTGGAGGCGTTTAGCTGCTTTGCAGTACAGTCTGTTTAAAGTTATGTAGTAGTTGATGATGTCATTCGATCTCCTACTTACTACTTGTAAGTTAGTTCTGGCGTGTTACATGCTTAACTTTATGGAAGGTGAAAATCAAAACCAGCTTGCTAATTAAAGTACGCGATTGTTTATATTCGTTTTTTAATTGCTCGATGTGCACTGGTTTAAAAGTAGTCTACTCTACTAGTTTCAGTTTCTTTTTAGGCGCGCTGTTTGAAATGATGCCACTACAGTAGCCTGTTTTTGTTTTTATTGTCGAAGACACATTTAACTCCCTTGGATGTATACTAGTGCAATGCAAC